ATTATAGTTAATTTAATTGTTATAGATTAAAAAAAAGACAGGAATGCAGCCATAAAGTTAACTGAAATATTTTCTTAATTAAAACGAAGTGAACTTTAAATTAGTAAGAAAAAACAGTAAAGAATTGATGAATTACATCAACGAATCAATCATGAAACTATAGACCAGACATATAAGTTGAATCAACAAATAGTTACACATGCACGTGCTTTCAAATGAAATACAGTTTAAAAATCAGAGAGATAGAGAGCTACCATCCAAAATCTGCGTGATTCTATCATCCAAGTTTTTAAATGTTTTTATTTTGTCAGTTTGACTTTGACAGCTTATGCATTGACCTTTATAAAGAAGGCTACAGTAAGGATCCAACAGGTGATTGGCCCTACATATATACAAATTCATAGCCTGCTTGTTCTCTTTTCATATTAATGGCTATTTTACTACTGTCCTGGACATAAAATATCCCTAAGAGAGAAGAGAGTAAATTTAGCATGCAAACAAGTCAAAGCGCAGTATGAATCAGCTTCCATGCAAATCCTAAAGGAGACTAAATTATTAATTCTATGCAGTTGAAGTTAAAAAAACTGAAGGAAAAAAAAAAACGAACAAACCTAGAGAAGAGTGTTCCACAGTGACATTTATACTCCCTGGTTCCGCATGTCTTGACATGAGCCTTCCAATCCGAGTAAACCGCATACTTCTTCGAGCACTTTTCACACTTCCACTTCTTCTCACCATGTTTCCTGCAAAAGTGCTTTTTTATCCCTGTAAGATCACCTAGAGCTCTTGAAGGATGGTGATGAACACAGGAAGGCTCAGGGCAAACATAGACTCTCTTCTTTATAACCTCCTTGCCATTATTATTCCTCTGCCTCAGCCTCCATGGCAAGTTGTGCCCTCTCCTATGAAGCTGAAGGTTTTGATCTCTCTGAAATCCTTTGGCGCATATCTCGCAGACAAATCTGTTGGTGGCAAGAAGGCTTTTGGGAGAGAGAGCCACCACTTCAGCATCTGGGTCTAAAAAAAATTAAGGAACAGAACAATTTGTGAGCTGTAACAGCCACCATTTAAGAAAGCACTCATTCATTATGGTAAGTATGCTTACCCGGATTTCCTGGTTGGCTTCTCTTCGTCTTGGGTTTGGGTTGGGTGGATATGGGTGTGAAGAGGAGAGTAAGGTTATTGAAGTGATCATGGACTCTGGTTTCAGGGGAAACATTTGCTTCCTCTGTTATGGTTGTGGAGTTGGAGATGGTTGCTGATGGATACATAAGGAGAATTTTTGGCTTTGTTTCTATTTAGTAATACTTCTTCTTCTTCTTCTTATTCTTCTTCTCTTGCAACAATGATTGAGATGAAAAGGGAAGAATAGGATTTTAATTCTGGCCTCTTCTATGTTATCAACTCTTCTGTGCTCAAAAGATGGAATGGGAAGGGGGAAAATATCTACTGAGTTATGTCATTATACTGCATGCAGAGGAGCAGGTGGCTGTAGGGTGAAGAAACACCTTGCTTTTTCACTTTATTTTATTGATTTTTTTTTTTGGTTTTGATTTTGTTGTGACAGCCGTTTCCACTTGCTCGGCCTTGGAGTCATGAGGGACCAGAAGGAAATGCTTAAAAGAATAATGGTTTATTTGCATGAAAATCCAAAACATTTGCAATTTATTTTAAAAAAACTGTTTAAAATTTTGTAAAATAGGATTCTTAATTTCATGAAATTGATTTTTTTTAATAAAAACGACTATAGTTCTAAGAAATTACCCTACTTCACAAATAAGGTTTAAACAAATCTTGGATAATGTGGTTTAGGCTTGCAACAATTTGCATATATTGGAGGTTTATAAAACTCTAATATCACTACAAGAATTGTAATGCAATTCCTATTTTATTTTTGCAATAATGTTCGAACAGTTATTATAGCAAGATTTCATGATAAATTATTGTAGTCACACAATACTTGAACAAAGAGTGCATGCGTGTGTGTTTATATATATATATGGGATTTCTATATAAATATCTCAATAAAAAAATGACAATTGTTATTCGGTGTGTTTAATCTTTCACTTTTCGTGAATCACATCTCAAGGGTTAAAGCAAAAGTCAGGAAAGAGAAAAAATAGATACAAAGATAACAATACATAGTAATGAATACTAAAATGTCTTATTATTGATATATCATTGGATTTTGCATTTGAAAACGAATACAAATCCGATGCAAATCTTTAACACAAAAAAAGATTAGATTATCAATTACATTTCCACAACCTGCACAAAAACATATTCCACAACCAACATCACATATCAAAGCATAGTCATATCTCAAATCAAATATCTAAACAATATCATTAATTAGAGGAAGATACTGTCGTAAATCGTCTAAATAAGAATAGAAAAATTAATGCAAAAAATTTCACAATAAATGTTCAATAAAATTCATACAAATAAATGAAAACATTAAAAAAATCTACACATCGTCTCCATCCAGACTCCTCCTCCACAGATGTCATCGACTTCTTGCCCCGGTTATCTACGAAGGTCTCCTCCATGCTCGCTTTAGAGTGCTCGACTCTATGTTGGCCTTCTAGCATATGCTCGTGCAACTGGTGGATCTCTTCATTCTTGCTCACCATGTGCAGTCCAGTACCAATAATATGTTTTAAATCCCTTGCGATAAAGATCCAACTTAACTTCTTCAGGAGGCAAAAATGCTTGATTTTGTGCTTCGCACAGTGACATGATAACATACCATTAAAACTATAGATGGGCAGTTGTAATGTCACCTGTACGAATTCCTCAATATCATTCAAGAACTTATATGTAAGTCATTCTCGTCCTGAATATAATCTATTATACATCCAAGCTCTAAAATTACGGATAACCATCTGCATCATTGATGTAATTTTACGGGTCGGTATAACTGCTAAGAAAATAAAAATTAGTAAATACAAACATTAAGAAGTCGACACTACTTGGTCAACCAACCAACCACAAGCAACCATTTTGAATTCTACTAATAACAAACCCATCTATATCACCATCACTTTGAATAAGAACCGATGCACTCCTCTATTTCAACCAACCAACATTAATTCAACTAATAACATCCCTATCTATATTACCCTCACTTCGAAAATTTGACCAATCAATGTATTCCTCCAATTCAACCAACCAACTTCAATTCTACTAATAACATCCCCATCTATACACCATCATTTTGAACTATAGGTCCGATCGTAACATTCTTCCACCTCAACCAACCAACGTGAATTCTAGTTAAAACGTCTCTTTCTATACCACTATCAATTCGAACTAGACCCGATGCATATATTAATTCATTTCAACCAACCAACATAAGTTCTACTAATATGTAAATACATACTTGTTATTTTGACCCCCAATTAATGAACTAAAGTAAAAGGGCACTTTTGTAATGTGGTACCGCCACCTACCACATCTCACCTACCATTCACCTACCGTTCATCTACCGCTCACCTACCTCTCACCTCCCTCTCCCCTACCACTCTCTTGCTTCTATAAATAGAGAGGGTGTGAGGCTTAGGAGAGCAAGGGAAGAGATCTTAAGGGTGTGAGGCTTAGGAGAGGAAAGGGAGAAGAGATCTTAA